GATTACACATTTTCCAACTCCAAAGAAGTGACGGATCAAGAATAACACATTGAATTTAACAGACAGCACTGGTTCTGCTCAACAAGGTACAAACAAATTAAGAATGCTCTGGTTAATTCAGAAAAGACAAGCCAGGAAAGAGAAGTAAATCACCAGAGAGATGATGCCTCAGTTCTCTGTCCACACTGCTCAAGAACTTACAGTGCTAGAAGTGACCTTTTCAGCCATCTCGTCATCCTCATCTGTGATGGATGAACAACAGCAAGATGGCTAAAAGAGGTTTTGATGAATTTTACCTGTTTGATTCTCATCCTTTGGGTGTTAACCCTAGAGACTGTAGTAATCCTGGAGGGGGAAAAACTAATGGTTTTTTTTTAAAACTATCATACATCTAATGTGCCTCTTGTGCCTTGATATCCAAATTGTTTCTTATTTATGGCAATGATGTCAACCAAAATGTATATAATACTGCATTATTATTTTATAATTATAATATATATGTGTGTGTGTATATGTATGAGTGTGTGGGCGTCCATGTATGAAGGTGTCTGTATGTGTGGTATGTTTAAAAGGATAGTTCTGTTTGTGTGTGTAGTTCTAGATGTTCGTCCACTTCTGAAAATTGTTCCTCACAGATTGCTGGTTCCCTGCCTCACAGATTGCTGGTTCCCTGCCTCACAGATTTTTGGTTTCCTGCCTCACAGATTGTTGGTTCCCTGCCTCACAGATTACTGGTTCCCTGCCTCACAGATTGCTGGTTCCTCACCTCTTAAACAGGTGCGCTTTAACTTCAAAGTAAGCAACCATAATAAGTTACCTTTTACGACATGTTTGTTTGGCAAGGAGGGGGAACAGCGGGTCTGTTATTATGTCCCAAACTGGATGCCAGAACCGACATGGGGAACATAGCATCGTATATCCAACCCTTAACATTTTTTAAATAGATCAGTAGGCCCGCCATGGCAGATATGATCAGCCAGCTGCCTCTCCTTCCCATAAAATTTCCTGGCACTGATTTTAGGCTATGTAGGCACACAAAGCAGCAATGGCAGTTCTAGGTAACATGTATGAATTCTTTCCTAATCTACTCTACAGCATAACGTATTCTGGTGTATGTCATCCAGGTAAGTGTGCTCATGAAAACAGCCTTTATTTCAGCAAAACGGTTTTTGGCTCCATTCTCCCCAATACCTGCTGAGGGTGACTATTACTTCAGTGTGTGTCTATTTCCCATTACCTAACAAGTGTTTAAGAGGCGATCCTCAGTCCTTCTGAAACACACTACTTCCTTTGAGTTTTTTTTAGGAATCACTGAGATCTCATTGCAAAACATCAGTGGCTAAAAATACAGGTTACCCAAAAAAATAATACCAAGAAAGCAAACAGATAAGCAAAGGAGATTATTAAAGCAGAAATCAACAAGCTAAAAACTCGTGTGAATTTTCCCCCAAAAAATCTTTTTTTTTAAACTCTTTGCACGAATTAACTGTTTAGAAAATGTATTTATCTACATTACAGTTTCCAAATACATAAAGACATAAAGGAAATAAATAATAATAAATAATAAATAATCAATAACAAGAACAGAGTGAAGCAAAGGAAGTAGTAATCAATAACAAGGACAGAGTGAAGCTAAGGAAGTAGTAATCAATAACAAGGACAGAGTGAAGCAAAGGAAGTAGTAATCATTAACAAGAACAGAGAGAAGCATTAAAGGGAATGCATTCCCCGGAACCTTAAACCTTACAAAAATCACGCATCACATGCTTCATGCAGTCTTCTTCTTCACGTTCACCGGCTGTAAATTCCGGCGGAAATTTCTGGTACTGTTCCAGAAATCCGTTTTACATGTCTGACTCATTTGCATGCAGACTGTTAGTTCGTTGCCTCTCGGGCCAATGCATATGATTTCGAAGAAAGCACCCAATTAGTCAACTCTTATGACATGCTTTTGGGTAGGCATTGGGTCTATTCTTGTCCCCCCCCCCCCCACAATGGGGGCCCGGAGCCCCACGGGGAACTCATTGCAGTGACTCTGTGACCTTTATTAGTGACATTATTTGACAGAAAATTGTTAATCAACCTGGCTTCTGAAAAAAGCTACTGGACTTACAATTAACCCTCCCCATGTGCGTTCCTGGGCCCCACTGTAGGTAAAACAAGAATAGACTAAGTGGTGGTTTCCCTTCAAAGTCATCTAGTACATCTAGCTGAATGATAAGGAACCAACAGTCTGCATATAAATAAGTAAAATCTGTAAAACAGATGCACATGCGTAACTCGGGTTCTGAAACAGATCAAAGTTCAGAAAAACCAGAACTTTACAATCAGAGTTTACAACCGGTGAATTTGAAGAAGAAGAAGACAATCAACCCCTCTAAATGCTATATTGAGTGAAGAATATTCAATACTGGCTCCCTAAACACTACACAGGCACAAACAAAACCAGTGGCATTTCACTATGCTTTTTGAGAACATGTCACTGAAGAAATCTCAATGTATCGGAATTAAAAGGGCTGTGCCACAACCAGAAGTGACCAGCGTCAGCCTTCTCACAGCAACAGAGTTAACTGTGAGGTCTTTCCATATTCCATATGCTTGATCAACCTAGGGCATGAAATGGGCCCTTTACTTATTAGGCTCCACTGGGAGCACACACACAAGAACAAATACACTGCAACAATCAAACAGTTACAAAACTTCTTCTTTGCATTCAACAGCTGTAAACTCTGGTGGAGAGTTCTGGTTGTTCGTCCACTTCTGGACTGCAGTCCTGTTCCAGAATCTGAGTGTTGTGTGTGCATCCGTTTGACAGATCGGACATATTTATGTGCAGACTATTGGTGCCTTGCCTCTCAGGCAGATGCACTCCGACTTCGAAGGAAGTTCCAATAAGTCGAATCTTAGGACATGCTTTGGGCAAGCAGTGGGTCTATTCTTGTTTTTTCTATAATAGGTCCTTGAAACCCACATGGGGGCGTAACAAAACTAACCACTGTACAAAGTGAATTATAGTCGTAGTCTTAATCAAAGAAAGACAAAAATTCCCTTGGCTCAAAGCTCGACCCAGCCTTGAGTGGGTACCAGGTATAGACTGGGAAGTAAAGAAGGCCAGTGTGATATTAAAAACATCACTCACAAAGTGGCGACAGGTCTAAAAGAATATAGGTTTAGCCTTATTTGCCCAATATTCAGAGGGTGTGGAAAAAGAACCTTTATTTTAGCTAGTGAGGTTTCAACTTCACTGCAATCGGGTCAACCCATACTTGCTCTGTTCCTGTACCAGTGAAAATCAAATAAAATGAATGTCCCATTTGAAAAAATGGCGAACAAACAATTAGAAATATAAGCATGCAGTAAATAAATTGGGCACCAATAGTTGCCTCCAAAAATGAAGTTGTCATTGATGGAAGCAGTCAGTTACGATGAACTAGCTATACAAATGTAATATTATTGCATAAGGTATTTCGCCAGCCCAAATGTAAATCAGCTTCTAGTCATATTGAATACTGTGACTCAATCAGGTACAATATTTATAACGTAACCTATGACATCATGGGAGACATTCAAATAATTTCCAAGGGTAAGGTTGGGTAGATTTTTCCCTTCTAGAGTGCATCGCAAAAGCGTGCGCTTGTTGGCGCCTCTTATGATGTGTGTTCATCGCGCATCAGCAGTCTTCATCTTTGCCGCATCTGGTTGCTACAATTAGTACCATCTGTACGAGACAAGGAGACCTGCATTGCCTTCCGGCAACAGCGTGGCATTTTGCACAGAACGAGACGTTGCAGGAACAACCATCATATAGATGGTGTATTATCGCTTTCAGAAAGATGTTTGCCGGTGTCGAAAGTCCACCTGTCATCTGGACACACCCCTACGGCAAATTGTGGACCTCTTTCCGGCGACTATACCGACTAGATGGCTGGGACACACGAGCAGCAGCTACTGCATCTCCTGCAGCTTCCTCCTTTTGATTTGCTCGTGAGTTATTATCACTGTCGGAAAGACACACAACCATTAGCCGGTGTCGAAAGTCCACCTTTCGTCTGAACATACCCGTGCGGCAAATTGCGGACCTCTTCCTGCGACTATACCGCCACCGCCGAGAGTATCCCTCGCGCCGCAATGTGTGACGCAGAGCGGGGTTAAACTAGATGGCTGGGACTCACGAACAGCACTACCGCATCTCCTGCAGTTTCTTCCTTTTTATTTGCTCGTGAGTCCCAGCCATCTAGTTTAGCGCCCTCTGTGCAGCGCGGAATACTCTCGGCGTGACGGTATAGTCACAGGAAAGAGGTTCAAAATTTACTTGTGACTAAGGCCCTGGCAGGGTATATTTTCAGCCTCGATAATTTGGGACCATTATTTGGAAGATAGACAAGAAAACAATTTACATTTGATTTTTTTTTTAAAACAACAATTTACAAAAAAAAGGTCAGGTAGGTGTAGAACTGACATTTAAAAAAAATATTTAAAAAAAAACAATTTACACACAAAAAAGTCTCGTAGGGATTGAACCCAGCACCATTCCTTTATAAGGAGGATATGATATCACTGAAAACTGCGCATCATCAAGCAACCGACTGCGCACCAACAGACAGATATATGCCACAACAAAAATACACTATAAGAGAAACCACAGAATCGGCACACTTGCACCCCTTGAAATAGTGGACTGTCAAGTCCGCTGTGGAATTCCCACAGATTTTCGTGTTTGTGGTACGTTATAAATATTGTACCCTCAAACGCTGCATAAATGAAAGCCATTTGACTTGAAAAAACACAACTCACAGTCTTGCACCAAGCACTTAGCGTAGGCAGCGACATCAAGACTTCTATCCACATACTGAAACCGCATTAGCAAAATGCTCTCAGAAGCAAAATTAACTTAAAGCTAAATATTCTGCCATAATATCCATAATGGGCAGGAAGTATAAGTAATTATTCAAAAGAAGTTGACAGATAGGTTTAGAAAAAAAATAATTAAGTTGCCCTACCTTATGTACACTGTTCGGATCTCTCTGCCAAGCCTCGTACATATCCTCAATGTAAGCGGAGGAGCTGCCATTAATGAAAGGCTCCGCTGCTGCCTGAGTGCCATACCTCCTGCCCTGTACCACTCTCCTGGACACCCCAGCCACGGCTGATGAAGCATAGCCACGGTATAACGCAGGCAGCTCATGGAATGATCGGCACATTGGGTAACGTAGCAAAAGGTTTTTGATGCGATGCATCATAAAGCCTTAACGTCCTAGCTACGTGAAAGTGTCGAATATTGTGGCAAAAGCTGGGGTTTTCTCAAAGCCAGCCTGGCTCCTGGTGGAGCTGAGTTCAGCCCCAACAGTGGGTGTTTGTCAAGAAGCTTGTATCGTGTCTCCACAAATTATCTGAATGTCTGTGACGATGAGAGATAAAAGACAATTGTTAAAAAAATCTCTTTAAACGCAAGAATACTTCTGCATAATTAAAGTGTATACTTACTTACTTAGTCGCTCCTCTTCTAACATGGGGTGTAGAGGTTAAAGTGTATGACAGAATATATAATTTAGAATTTAGTTTGAGTGTATCAAGAGGTGAGAAGAAGTGATGGCGCTAGATAGGACACATACTGAGAATACCTGATTACAATATAACGAGAATATCTCTGGTCTTGAACCCACCAGGTTAAAGGGGAAAAGTGGCACCACAAACAACTGGAGAAAGGAATTACAGATGAGAGGGAGCGAGCTGCACCCCACAGCACAAGATAGGATGAACTGGCATGTCTTGGTTGAGGGCCTATGCTTCAGTGGGGGATGAGGGGCAGAAAAAACAAGAAGACACATGCATTAAAAGAACACATTAATAACATAAAGAACTAACCAAATCTGCATAATATGACACCAAGAGATGTGCAGACAGAGCCATACAAATTGCCAGTGTTCTGAAGAACCAACATCAATGCACAAGTTTAGATACTCTTTTCACGAACTTAAATACCAAAAATAAAATTTAAAAAATAAAATAAAGTAAAAATGTGAAGAACCGTCATGAATAAAAGAAAATACAGTCCTAAGCTAAATTTAACACCCAGTACATTTTACGTGTTGCAAGTCCGACTCATAATCTAAAGTACCGCGATCGAAACCCACTGTTGGCTGTGTGAATTTTTTTTGTGGGGCGTCGCAGGTCGACCCAGCCTAAAATAGGTACCAGGATGTATGTCCTGGGAGAAGTAAAGACGACCGGCATAATGCAGACCAGATTACCCACCCGGTGCCGATTGGTCTGTAAAAATATGGGAGGCTCTTCCCATATGCCCGATGCACCTAAGGCGTGAAGAGGGATCTTTACTTTGCTTACATTTTATTAAATGGCTATAACTCAGCAGCAAAATGTCTTCATATCACTTAAATAATAAACAATTAAATAAAACACTTGAAACCCAAATTAACAGAAATATCAATTCAGCATTAGACCTTATTACATGCTTTCTCAACAATGGTTATTCGGAACAATTGTAGAAACTATCAAAATGACATTATTGGGGAATAATTTCACATCAGAAACTATCCAAATGATATAAATGTCTAAACTTTCCTTAGAAAACCACTAAAAACCATTACCTTCTAGTAAACACAACTAATATTAACTTTTTCAGTCCCAGGAGGTTTGGTATGAGAGGCTTAAAGGGTGGTTAAAGAAAGACGGTGCTTTCTTAATATACTACCCCAAACAGGGTAAATACACAGGTCATGGGACAGTCTAATATTTTAGGGGATGGTAGATAGACTGCCCTCTCTCGTAGGATCTAGACTGCACTCTCTCGTGAGATGTAGCTGTTTTAGGGTCGTTAAAGGCATAGGAAAAACAGGAAACCAGTCTCACCACCCTCTAAAATGTTGGACTGTCCTGTGACGTCATCTGGGGTAGGATATTATAAAAAAACAAGAAGGACATATATATAATTGGCGCATCTTGTGTTCACTGGGCTTCTAGTTATGGCCCTAAGATGTGTTTCCTGGAACTGAAGACACTTAAAATGTTAGGAACTCTCCATATCTGATGATGAATAAAACCATTTTAAACAACTAAATAAATTAATTCCATATTTCAACTTTCACAGATTTTATGTCTGTTATTTTGCCTAGCACCTTTCCTTTCCACAACACCTTGGACTGCATTAATCCCATAGAGATCTAACACTACAAATAGTATGCCCATCATCATCATCAGTTGCTTTGCCGACTGACGTGGGCGATCATGCCTCTCCACAATCTGCGATCTCCTGCAGCATGTATCAGTTCGTGTGCTGACGCACCTCCATGCCATGCAACAAGACTGTCAAGAATCTTCTCTTGTTGTCTTCCTCTATCCATCTTTCAAAAGATCCATCCAGTGGTCACAACATGTTCCATTTTCCCATAACATGGCCGAAAATGATGACTGTCTCCTTCTGATGTCTGTGATAAGTTGTCTTCGGGCTCCCGTCTCTTTCAAAACCTCTTGGTTGCTCTTGGTCTTTTTGGCTGTCCAAGGTATTTTAAGCATTCTTCTGTAAAACCACATCTCTGAGGCCTTAAGAAATTGTTTGGCCTGCCTACCGATTGTCCAGGACTCACAGCCATATGTCAAAACTGGATGTATGTAGCAAGGAAGAATTCTTTTTCTAAGCTTTAATGACAGAAATATACTGCATAAGATGTTGAATGCCCAAACCATCATTAGAAAAATGCTATCACTTGATACTCTTACAGAAATCTTAGAGGAGAGGTAGCTTTTTCCTTATGATGAATAACTTGGTGGTAAATTTATGTATAACAAGCTAGATGTTGTGAGAGCCCTTTGGGGGCAGGTAACAGTGTGGATTCACAGATAAATCATTACGGTCTGAGGAGAATGGAGCTGCGAAAAAGTTACTAGGGGATCTGGCCGATGCTCAACACTTAAGGGGAAGGCGAGACGGATATACAATCAGACACTTACTGATGCCATCTGAATTAGAACTCTTCGCTTGCTGTCGAAGATGGCAATGGAGAGCTTGCGGTTTATGTTTATTGTTTGTTTTTTTTTCGATGGATCAACATCATGGCACACAGGTGTAACCTATAAGTGCTTAGTTCTACTTCTTACTCAAGCCTGAGTCTGAGAATCTCAGCACAGTGCACAAACTCTGTTGAACCGGCGAGGATCTGAAATATTTTGGGTACAATTTGAACTCCAAATTTTTGCCCTGGCAGCACCATTAGGCTACTCTTTTCGATTTCCAACTGCCTAGGGATTTTGTATGTGCGCAAGAATACACAAGGGCGTCCAATCTTACTACCCAGAGACCAGGGTAAATTACTAGGTCCAGGTGAAAAAATCCCAGCCTTCATCAGGGCTTGAACCTGGACACCAGCACTTGAGGCAGACACCATAGCTCGAAACCACTTATCCCCCAGTGCTATAATGTCGCTTCTTAATTCTACAGCATTATAGGTCTTGGGATGTTATCTTTAAGACTCACGATAAATGTATTAAATAAGAAGAAAAAACTGAAACCAGTCTAACAATTCTTAAAGACTGACATATAAGACTGGTGGTGTTACAAGAGAATTCCCTGGTACCAACTGCTAAAGAGAGCTATGATGAAAAAAAATGGACACAGAGGTCATGGAAAAATGAAACGATAGCACCAAAACAAATCTCTGACACAAATCAAGACCATCTTTAATTGTGCACCAGGAAAGTAAAGCAACAACTTTTTTTAACATCTTCCAACACACCGATGAAGTAACTGGAGGAACAGAAGAGAAAAGAAGAAGATAAGCAATACATGCAACTAGAGTCGCTAAAGCTAGTAGCTATACAACGTGCAAACTCCAAAGCTCCAGTAATGATCTCCAGAGACATCTGGCAAAATCGCAGTCCTGAACTGACACAACCTTCAAAGTGTAAGTCAAGCACCCTGACCATTTCACCATAGAAAGCCGCAGTGTGTGTGTGACAAAAAACAGCCAGTCTAATCAATCGTGCGTGTTATAAGAAATGACTCAGAAGGGTCAATGTGAGACTGGCTACCACATCCCACTAGGAAATTTCCATCATAAAATTCAACCAAGCATGAACAAGTATACTAACGAGTGTACAGTGTAAGCTGATGGGAGGCTATCCTCCATTAATTCACTGAGTGTTGAAAAGAAAAAGTATATATAATAAACATTATTTGTACATATATATTGTAATTTTTTTTAAGAGGAATTTTTGTAGGACCTGCAAATTTTGAAGCCTTAAGCTGTAGCTTACTTAGTTAGCTGCTTGTGCTTAAATTAAATCCATGGCTGTGTGTGTGTGTGAATGTGTGCCCACGCTCATGCATGTGTGTGTGTGTGCAGGATGGGCGGCACGAAATATAAAAGTAAACATGTCATCATCCAATATGGTGACAAAATCATTTTAATCCTGGACTATAATTTATCTGTGCATCAGTTCTGTTCAATTCAGTCTCTCTGGTCCAGATATCCGTCTTTCTCCGTCTACCGCATATATATTTAAAATAGGTTCAATAAATAATATAGTAATAAATATATACACTCTACACTGAATATTAGTAAAAACGAATACTTAATTTACTAGCTTATGTGTTAACTGACTACTGGCTCTAAAGCTTACTAAACCACATCTCTAGTTTGACTCACCTGGGGCACTAGCTTCTCCTGGTGTCGATGTTTGTTCAAGGATTTCAAAGACGTCCTCTCAAGTTGGTGGTGGCCTCTTCGACCTTGCCTCAAGGAGCCAGCTATCGAAATCTGGTGCTCCGATTTCGGGACTGCAAAAACACAAAATACGGCTACAGTTTACACAATATACGCAACTGTTCACTCATTTAACATATACTATACCGCTAACAGAACATTTTATCCACGTTTTATTGTTTAGTGTATACGACAATTATATGAAATGAGACAAGTTGATGTATTACCTTCCGCTTGCTTTCCTGTTGTCTGGCAGGACTGAAGGAAAACCCCCTCAAGTTTTTGAAGTCGATCTAGGGCACATGTGACGTCATTGAATAATTAGATACGGAAGATTTATTGGTCGGCTTAATTGGGTTAACCGCTGCTGGAGCCAATCAATGAACGGTTTACTCGGGGTAGAGAGAACGGAGGGTTGGGGTGGTGAGAGCGGGAAACCTGCTACCCTCTTCAATTACATCATTAAGTCCTCCTGTGTGTTAAGAGGGTCCATAATGGAAGCGATGAATAGGAACATTACA